TCTATCTCCCTCTCTCAAATATGGATAATAAAACATTAAAAATTTTTAAAAAATAAAAAACAAATAATTATGAAGCATTTGTTTTTTTCTTTTTCCTGAATTATCAGTTTGTACTTCATCATTCATCTACTGGAACTTTAGCATTTTGCTTATCAACTTATATGAATAATTTATTTGTTAAAGTTCTTAACATATTGTTATAATTACTAAAAATATCTTTTCTCATTGATTATTTGCTTTTAAAATTTTTGCATGGTCTTGTGTATTCCATTTATGTGCTTCATATAATGGTATGATGAACATACAGCTGGTACATAATATGTCCTTAATAAATGTTTGTTGAATGATGTAGTCAAGTGAGTTACTTTTGTGTTTCCTCCATCATTTCTATGCTTAGAAATTTATTTTCCAGTTAGGGCGTAAAAACAATGTTAGAATTATTTTAGAATTTTAGAAGATCAAAAAGTGTTTTATGTTTTTTTACTTAATCTGGAATCTATTTTGATATATGTGTTGACTGCTACTGTAATTCTTTTTCTCTCTCAAGAAAGAGAGAAAAGTGTAGTTTTTGCAATTTCTTATTGAATAATCTTTTCTTTCCTGATGGCTTTGTAAAACCTTCTCTATATTAAATTGACATATATGTCTTTCTAATTTTATACTTCGTTCCAGTGACCTGTCTTTCTATCTTTGGGCCAAAGCACACTTTTAATAACCATAGCTTTAGAATTTGGTTAAAAATCTGGCAGTTGGCCCTCTATTTTTATTTTATTCTTTTTTTTTTAAAGTAGGCTCTACACCCAGTACAGAACCCAAAGTGGGGCTTGAACTTATGACCCTGAGATCAAGACAAGAGCTGAGATCAAGAGTGGGATACCCAACAGACTAAGCCAACCAGGTATCCCAGTTTTTATTTTATCCCAGTTTTTATTTTATTCTTAAAAGATAAAAACTATTAAGAGTTCATTTCATTTGCTCCTTCTTCTAGATACACAACTTTGTCAAATTCCTGAATGAAAACTCTCACTGACATTTTGATTAGAATTCTTGGTATGCATATGTTTTCACTCATATGTAGAACAGGAGAAACTTAACAGAGGACCATGAGGGAGGGGAAGAGGAACTAAACAGTTGAGAGGGAAGGAGGCAAACCACAAGAGACTCTTAAATAGTGAGAACAAACTGAGGGTTGATGAGGGGTGGGGGGAGGGAAAAATGGGTGATAGGCATGGAGGAGGGCACTTGTTGGAATGAGCAGTGAGTGTTATATGGAAACCAGTTGACAATAAACTATATTAAAAAAATAAAATAATACTTAACCTATTAAAAAAAAAAAGAATTCTTGGTTTGTAGTGTAGGTTCTAGAGAAAGTCTGTCTAGATTCGAATCCCTTGCCCCTCACTACTATAGTGTCATTAGGCAAAATCTTTAATCCTTTTGTGCTTCAGTTCCTCATCTACAAAATGGAGATAATAATACTACTTACCTCATAGGGTCATTGTGAAAATTAAAGTATGCATAGGCAATTTACATAAATGTGTATAATTATGCAAATTGTGCATATTATTGTATGTTAATTTATTAAGCTAATACCTAGCACATAGTAATGACTCAATAAATGTTATTGGTAATAATGATAATAAAAATAATTAAATAGTATTTATTATTATACATTAATTAGGGACAAATTCACATCTTCATAAATTCCCATCTTAAAAGATTACTATCTAGAAACCTGTAGTATATATTTCCACTTAGGACAGCTTTTTCTCAGTAGAGCTTCTTTTTCATTTTGATTCTTGCAAAATATTTAAATATTTAAAAATTTTAATGTTTATTCATTTTTGAAAGAGAGAGAGAGACAGAATGTGACCAGGAAAGGACAGAGAGAGAGAGAGAGAGAGAGAGAGTCAAAGCAGGCTCCAGACTCTGAGCCATCAACACAGAGTCTAACGATGAGGCCCTAACCCACAAACCGCGAGACCATGACCTGAGCCAAAGTCAGATTCTTACCAACTGAACCACCCAGGCATCCTGGTGGTTCATTTCAATGACAGTGGAAGGGAAATTAAGACAAGTGTGGGTCAAATCCTCAGGCTGGCCTCTTATGGTTCATGTCTGTGTTGTGTTAATGATCATGTTTATACAGCGAAGTTGTATTCTCAACTGTGACATGAACAAAGGGCTCCTTCTTGCTCAAACAGAAAACATGGTCAGGGGAATTTCTTCTCACTCTGTGGGACTGACACTCCAAGCTAAGGCACCTGTGCCTTGGGGTTAACATCACTTGACCTTCACCAGCAAGCATTGTACTGTCCTGTCTTTACACATACCTGATTGCAACAGTTAGTGGCAGTAAATATACAGCAGAGATGTTACCTCCCCAATTCCAGAAATAATAAGGTTGATAACCTTAGAGTTACATCTTAATAAAACCTTACCTCAAATGAACAAGACCACTGCAAAGAGCTATCGAGCCACAGAAACCTCATTACCACAGACATGACAGAGGTGTGGCTCGGTGTGAGACGTAAGTACCTCAAACTTATTAATACCATTTTATAAAACAAACCTATGCAAATCGAGAACCTGTGTTAATAATATTGAAGTCAAAACACCAAAACAGGTAAAATGCAAAATTGGACTTGAGGCTGTACCTTTGTCTGTTAATAAGTACAATTTAAATAAACATTGAGTGTCTATAAGAGGGGTTTTTTTCCTTTAAAAGGGATTCCTACAAAATTCTTTTTACAAAATACTTCTCCAAACTACTAGTGACAAGATTTACACACACACACACACACACACACACACACACACACACACACCACAGCATTACAAAGGTTCTGAGAGAAAGTTTTAGTCTGGCATGATTTTAACTCTGTGAGCTTGGGCAAGTTGCTCTGCCCCTCTGAGTCTCCATTTATAAAATAGGTGTAGGGCATGTTGACAGCTGTTATTACTCCAGGGCCCCCACACCACCCCACGGAGAAGTCTGTGTGGGGCTGGGGCACCAGACTTATGTAAGAGGTGAGGCTAGGAAGGCCCCTCTGCATTGGGGATTTCTGCTTTGGGTCGGGAGAGATTTCTGTTTCTATTCTGAGAGTCTCAGGGCTCCATATTAGAGCAAGGAGCTAGGGCTTAGCTGAAGGCAGGGCAGGACATGGGCCCTGGCTCTCTCTGTATGTGACTTTGGGCAAGTTACTCAAACTTACTTTCTTGGTTTCTAAAAAAGGTGATAATAATAGCACCAATCTTACAGGCGGTTTGCAGAGGGTACACAAAATGTTGCAAGCCAGTTGTTTAGTCAAGTTCTAGTGCAGGATCCACCATTGTTATCCACCCTTTGTGAAGCAGCACAAACTCCTCAAATGTCACATGGGGTCTCTGAGTGGCAGGAGATCAGCTATAGGCTGGTTCCTTCTATCAAGTCCTCTAGCTCGGCATGGACCCAGGTCCTAGCCTCTGGAGAGATCTCGAGCTTTTGCATTGAGGTGAAGGAGGATCCCAAGGACAGATGGGCCAGGTTGGGTCAGCAGGATACGAGAACGGGGGAGTGGCTCATCTTTCCTCCAGTCCCTAGTGGGGGGAGACACCACTGAATCCATAGCTGGTCACCCACTGAACTGGCTCATGTCCTTATTTACACCCAGTCCCTACCTCTCAAAGCTTGGCATTCAGTGCCCTTCACAACTGTGCCCACACATACCCTCTCCTCCAGCCAAGGTCACTCTTTGATTTTCCCTCAAGGAGGACTCATGACTTTGCTCATGCTGTTTTTTGTTCTGTGTTGCTTCTCCTTTTCCAAACCCCACCTTACTTTCAAAGCTCATTTATGGTTTTTCCTCCTTGGTGGAGCCTTTCCCAAGCAGTTCCGTCCTCATCTCACCTCTGCAGCACTGGCCCTCTGGCCTCACTTGGTGCCTGTCCTACCCAGCTTGGAGTGCACTTGCATAGTTTTGAGGGTGCAGGACCCCATTCTTCATTGTGCCTCAAGTCTTTACTTGTTACCTTCTCTGTGTGTCTGAGTCTTGACCCTGCAGTCAGATGGCAAGCTTCTGGAGGGGAAAACCCCATTTTCTGTTCCCAGTGCTCCCTATAACGCCCATCTTGGACCAATGTCCTTCTCAAGAATTTGATGTATATTTATGGAAGGAATAAAGAAGTAAAAAAGAAAAATGATAAGCTTATTCATTGTCTTATTCTATGATGTGAGTGAAAGACACTTTTAACATTTACTCTTTTTGTTTTTACACTTTTAACATCTGCTCTTGAGACTTGAATTTTTCTTCAAGTTAAGATTACCAATCTATTAGGCAAACAAACACACAGTCCTTGCATGGCTAATACTCCAGTGTGGGGAGATGGGTGTCACAGCCCACACACCTGGCCTGCAGGGCAGAGCTCGCTTGTCCCAAGAGGCCTCTGCGGAGAGCACCCTGAATCTGATTCTACGTGGCCAATTTTTCTGGAGGTCAAGAACCTAGAGCCACAGAGAAGGGGCCTGTCCAGTGCACCCCAGAGAAACGTAGCACTCAGGTTGTTTTTTTCCTCTGTCTCCTTCCTCTGCCCCTTTCTGTTGCTGCTATGGGCTTATGCTCCCCTGGAAGCCAGGCCCAGGCACCAAAGGGCCTGCAGATGAAACTCTGTTTACAAGATTCACAGTCCCGAATTCAGGGAGGGGGAATCTTGGGGCTAAAGGAAGAAAGGGGCTAAAGTATGGGCCTCTTGAGTCCTGTTCCCATATGTGATGGAGTCACAATGCCATGGCTCACATAAGAGTTATTTAAAAGGTGTAGCCCTTGGGGGAAAATTGGGGACCATCCAGTTAGGAGAACAGGAGCCCTGACCGCTCAGAAAGCTCCTCTCCATAAGCTTCCTGTGCTCCTGTTCTGATGCTGGTGGTGGTAGCTGTTGTCCCTTGTTCCCCAGCAGTGTCTCTGTGGTGCCCCAGCCAGTGGCCTCAGTCTCTCTGACAGAAGGCCAGCACCCAGTCCTACCTGGCAGCCCCAGCAGGGTGAAGTAGCCCCGGCACTCAGTGAAGCCAGAGCTCTCTCGGACACACGATCGCCACAGCCCTTGGTAGTTGAATACAGCGGTCACTGGATTATTGTACAAGTCCTGGGTGCTCCACTGGTCCATGCAGGTGGCGGCAATGATGCCTGCAATCCCAAGCAGTGAGACTATGAACCCCAAGCCCTGGCAGGCGGTCACGGCCATGATGGGATGCAGTGTTGACACAGAGTGCCACACGACAGAGGGACACCCTGGTTCTGAGAGTGCAGAGTGTAGGGATGGAGTTTTCTCGGAAAGGCTGGTGCACACGTCACAAATGGACCATGTAATGGAGGAGGGGACTCAACAGTGCCACCCGAGCTCGCCCTTCTCCTTTATCTACCCAACTGAGATAATTTCCACAACATGGTACCAAGAACCATTTGTTTTCCACCATATGTACACTCTACTCACTGTTTACCTTCAGAGGGAGTTTCTTTTCCTGATTAGCCAGGTTCCCCTCTATAGAGGGTAAAGCAGGTGCAGAAGCAGAGGGCGCTGCCTGGAAGGGCCTGCAGGTTGGTCGTGCCTCAAAAATACTTGGAGATGAAAGGGCTTCATCTGTGAGGCCTTCCCGAAGTATCACTGCTGCTTTAATTCAATACATTAAATAGAACTAAAACACAGAACTGAGAAAATTATGCAAAATGCAGACAGAAATAAAGAGATAGAAAACATGAACAACAGTAAGAAACATGAAGGATAGAATGAGAACCTCCAACATATACCTAATAGGAGTTCCAGAGGCAAGAGAATAAAGAGAATGAGAGAAAGACTATATTTGATAAGCTATTGCCTAAGAATATTCTTGAATTGATAAAAAGCATTAATCCCATGTTAAGGATTTCCAATAGTTCCACAGAAGGTAAATAAAACAAATCAACATCTGGCTACATTTTAGTATTGCGTAGTACAAAAGAGAAAGAGAAAAGCCTTTTAAAAACCTGAAAGGAATGAATTACGGTCACTATATCAGTTGCAGCAATAGAAACCAGAAGATGACAGAATTATATTTTGAAAAATGGAGAATAAAAATAACTATCGACCCCCAAACAAGGAGAAGACAAGCCACAGGGAGAGCGAAAATATTTGCAAAGGGAAAATATTTTTGACGAAATATTTTGTATCCAAAAAACACTTGGATAAAGGACTCTTGTCCAAAATATTCTAAAACCTCTTAAAATTCAACAATAAAATGAACAGCCTGATTAAAAAATAAGCAAAATATTTGGAAAGTACCTCATCAAAGAAAATACACAGATGACAAGCATATGAAAAGATGCTCAACATCTTATGTCATTAGGGAATTACAAATTAAAACAACAAGTACTACTACATACCTACTAGAATGACTAAAATCCAAAACACTAACACCAGGTTCTGGCGAGGATGTGGAGCAACAGGACCTCTCATCCATTGCTGGTGGAAATGCGAACAGTCCAGCCACTTTGGAAAACAGTTTGGCAATTTCTTACAATACATACTCTTAGCATACAATCCAGCAATTGTGCTCCTTGGTATTTACCCAAATGAGTTGAAAACACGTCCACACAAAAACCTGCACCACATGTTTTATAAAACCCTATTTATAACTGTCCAAACTTGATAGTAACCAAGATGTTTTTCAGTAGGTGGGTGGATAAATAAACTGGTATATCTAGACAGTGGAATATTATCTGGTGCTCAAAGAAATGATCTATAAACCCATGAAAAGACATGGAGCAACCTTAAATGTATATCATGAAGTGAAAGAAGGCTACATACTGTATGATTCCAACAAAGGCAAGACTGGAGGCAGCAAAAACCCCAGTGATTGTGAGGAGCTCAGGGCTCTGAGAGGATTAATCGAAGGAGCACAGAAGATTTTAAGGCAGTGAAGCTATCCTGTACGATTCTACAATGGGTGGACACATGTCACTATATACTCATGAAAATCCAGAAATGTATAACACCAAGAATGTATGCTAATGTAAATGATGGTCTTTGGGTGATAATGATGTGTCAGTGTAGGTTCACTGATGTAGCACTCTGGTGCTGGACATCGATAGTTGGGGGGGCTAGGCATGTGTGGGTGGGGTGGCAGGGAGTGTGCAGAACTCTGCTTTCTGTTCAATATTGCTGTGCACCTAAAACTGCTCTAAAAAATAACGTGTGAAGGCTGAGTTCCATATTTGGGTTGATACTTGAGCAGAGAGGGAAGAACAGCTCTGGAAGGGCAGAGCAGAGAACAAGGCTTCAGTATGGGCAGGGAGTTGACATCTGTAGTGGGCCTAAGAATGTAAGATTATGTGAAATCTTGGAGTGGGAAGTAGACTTTCCCAAAGTGGAATGGGGGCTCAAAACAATCTCATTTAGATTTCCAGGGAAAGGCAAACCACCCCAGAGAAATCTCAGTTACGTGACTAGCAGGAAAAGCAGGGATCGTATCTTGGTGATGTGTTCTATCACAGGAGAACTGAACTCTCTGTAATTGGGCAATTGCGAAGCCTCAACTGGGAAGAGAGAATTTTGATCCAAAATGCTCTTCAGTGACAGTGAATCTTGTTCCTATAGCTCTGCCTTTCTGGCTGCTAGATGTACACCTTAATCTTACAGCCAAGAGAACATTCCTTATATCTAACCTTCTCGCCAGATGGTCAGTGGTCAAAAATTCTTGGAAACTTGTAGGACTTTGTTTTTAGTTCAAAATATTTTTTATTTTTATTTTATAATTTATTGTTTAATTTACATCCAAGTTAGTAAGCATATAGTGCAACAATGATTTCAGGAGTAGATTCCTTAATGTCCCTTACCCATTTAGACAATTCTCCCTCTTACAACCCCTCCAGCAACCCTCTGTTTGTTCTCTATAAAGAGTCTTTTAGGTTTTGTCTTCCTTCCTGTTTTTATATTATTTTTGCTTCCCTTCCCTTATGTTCATCTGTTTTATATCTTAAAGCCCTCATATGAGTGAAGTCATATGACATTTGTCTTCCTCTGACTAATTTTGCTTAGCATAATGCCCTCTAGTTCCATCCACGAAGTTGCAAATGGCAAGATTTCATTCTTTTAGATTTCTGAGTAATACTCCATTGTATATATACCATGTCTTCTTTGTCCATTCATCCATCAATGGACATTTGGGCTCTTTCCATACTTTGGCTATTGTTGATAATGCTGCTATAGATATTGGGATGCATTGGGATGCATGTGCCCCTTCGAAACAGCACACCTGCATCCTTTGGATAAATACCTAATAGAGCAATTGCTGGGTTGTAGGGTAGTTCTATTTTTAATTTTTTGAGGAAACTCCATACTGTTTTCCAGAGTGGCTGCACCAGTTTGCACTCCCAGCAGCAGTGCAAAAGAGATCCTCTTTCTCTGCATCATCGCCAATATCCTGTTGTTACCTAAGTTGTTAATGTTAGCCATCCTGTTAGGTGTGAGGTGGTATCTCATTGTGGTTTTGATTTATATTTCCCTGATGATGAAAGATGTTGAGCATCTTTTCAAGTGTCTGTTGGCCATCTGGATGTTTTCTTTGGAGAACTGTCTATTCATGTCTCTGCCCATTTCTTCATTGGATTATTTGCTTTTTGGGTGTTGAGTTGGTAAATTCTATATAGAATTTTGATACTAACCCTTTATCTGGTATGTCATTTGCAAATATCTTCTCCCATTCCATCAGTTGCCTTTTAGTCTTTCTGATTGTTTTCATCACTGTGCAGAAGACTTTTATTTTGATGAGGTCCCAATAGTTCATTTTTGCTTTTCTTACTCTTGCCTCTGGAGATGTGTTCGGTAGGAAGTTGCTGCGGCCAAGGTCAGAGAGGATTTGCCTGCTTTCTCCTCTGGGATTTTGATGACTTCCTGTCTTACATTTAGGTCTTTCATCCATTTGAGCTTATTTTTGTGTATGGTGTAAGAAAATGGTCCAGGTTCATTTTTCTGCAATGTCACTGTCCAGTTTTCTCAGCACCACTTGCTGAAGAGACTGTCTTTATTCCATTGGATATTCTTTCCTGCTTTGTCAAAGATTAGTTGGCCATACAACTAATTACGGGGTCCATTTCTGGGTTCTCTATTCTGTCTCATTGATCTGAGTGTCTGTTTTTGTGCCAGTGCCATACTGTCTTGATGATTATTACTGCTTTGTAATAAATCTTGAAGTCTGGGAGTGTGATACCCCCAGGTTTGGTTTTCTTTTTCAAGATAGCTTTAGCTATTCAGGGTTTTTTCTGGTTCCATACAAACTTTAGGATTGTTTGTTCTAGCTCTGTGAAGAATACTGGTGTTATTTTGATAGGTATTGCATTGAACATGTAGATTGCTTTGGGTAGTATCGACATTTAACAATGTTTGTTCTTCCAATCTGGGAACATGGAATATTTTTCTGTTTCTTTGGTGTGTCTTCTTGAATTTCTTTCATAAGCTTTCTATAGTTTTCAGTGTATAGATTTATCCCCTCTTTGGTTATGTTTATTCCTAGGTATTTTATGGGTTTTGGTGCAATTGTAAATGGGATCGATTCCTTGATTTCTCTTTCTGTTGCTTCATTATTGGTGTATAGGAATGCAACTGATTTCTGTGCATTGATTTTATATCCTGCAACTTTGCTGAATCATGGATAAGTTCTAGCAGTTTATTGGTGGAAACTTTTGGGTTTTCCATATAGAGTATTATGTCATCTGTGAAGAGCAAAAGTTTGACTTCCTCCTGGCTGATTTAGATTCCTTTTATTCATTTGTACTGTCTGATTGCTAAGGCTAAGACTTCCAATACTATGTTGAATAACAGTGGTGAGAGTGGACCTCTCATATTCCTCACCTTAGAGGGAAAGCTTTCAGTTTTCCCCATTGAGGGTGATATTAGCAGTGGGCTTTCATATATGGCTTTTATGATCTTGAGGTATGATCCTTCTGTCTCTACTTTCCTGAGGTTATTTTTTTAATCAAGAAAGGATGTGGTATTTTGTCAAATGCTTTCTCTGCATCTATTGAGAGGATCATGTGGTTCTTGTCCTTTCTTGTATTGATATAATGAATCACATTGTTTGTTTGTGGATATTGAACCAGACCTGCATTCCAGGTATAAATCTCAGTTGGTCATGGTGAATAATTCTTTTAATATATTGTTGGATCTCATTGGCTAGTAACTTGTTGAGGATTTTTGCACCCATGTTCATCAGGGAAATTGTCTATAGTTCTCCACTTTAGTGGGGTCTTTGTCTGGTTTTGGAATCAAAGTAATGCTGGCTTCATAGAAAGAGTTTGGTAGTTTTTCCTCCATTTTTATTTTTTGGAACAGCTTCAAGAGAATAGGTGTTAACTCTTCTTTCAATGTTTGATAGAATTGCCCTGGAAAGCTATCCAGCCCTGGACTCTTGTTTTTTGGGAGATTTTTGATTACTAGTTCGATTTCTTTACTGGTTATGGGTCTGTTCAAACTTTCTGTTTCTCCTGTTTCAGTTTTGGTAGTTTATATGTTTTTAGGAATTTATCCATTTCTTCTAGATTGCCCATTTTATTGGTGTATAATTGTTCATAATATTCTCTTATTGTTTGTATTTCTGCAGTGTTGGTTGTGATCTCTCCTCTTTCACTCTTGATTTTATTTATTTGGGACCTTTCCTTTTTCTTTTTGATCAAACTGGCTAGGGATTTATCAATTTTGTTAATTCTTTCAAAGACCCAGCTCCTCATTTCATTGATCTGTCCTACTTGTTTGTTTGTTTGTTTTGGTTTTGATGGCATTGATTTCTGCTCTAATCTTTATTACTTCCTGTCCTCTGCTGTTTTGGGGTTTAATTTGCTGTTCTTTTTCCAGCTCCTTGAGGTGTGAGGTTAGGTTGTGTTTCTGAGAACTTTCTTCCTTCTTTTGGAAGGCCTAGATTGCTGTATACTTCCCTTTTATGACCGCCTTTGCTGCGTCCCAGAGGTTTTGGGCTGTGGTGTTATCATTTTCATTGGCTTCCATGTACTTTTTAATTTTCTCTTTAATTTCTTGGTTAGCCCACTCATTCTTTAGTAGGTTAGTCTTTAGTCTCCAAGTATTTATCTTTCCAAATTTTTTTCTTGTGGTTGATTTCGAGTTTCATAGCTTTGTGGCCTGAAAATATGCACAGTATGGCCTCAATCCTTGTGTACTTGTTGAGAGCTGATTTGTGTCTGTGTATGTGATCTATTCTGGAGAATGTTCCATGTGCACTCGAGAATGTGTATTCTGCTGCTTTAGGATGAAATGTTCTGAATATATCTATTAAGTCCATCCAGTCCAGTGTGTCATTCAAAGCCATTGTTTCCTTACTGATTTTTGTTTAGATGATCTGTCCATTGCTGTAAGTGGAGTGTTGAAGTCCCCTACTATTATGGTATTATTATTATCAGTGAGTTTCTCTATGTTTGTGATTAATTGATTTCTATACTTGAATGCCTTCACATTTGGAGCATAAATGTTTATAATTCTTAGGTCTTCTTGGTGGATAGACCCCTTAATTATGATATAATGCCCTTCTTCATCTCTTGTTACAGTCTTTATTTTAAAATCTAGATTGTCTGTTTTAAGTATGGCTACCATGGCTTTCTTTAGATGACCATTAGCATGATAGATGGTTCTCCGTTCCCTTATTTTCAATATGAAGGTGTCTTTAGGTCTAAAATGTGTCTCTTGTAAACAGCATATAGATGGATCTTGTTTTCTTATCCATCCTGTTACCCTGTGTCTTCTGATTGGAGCATTTAGACCATTGACCTTTAGAGTAAGTACTTAAAGATATGAATTTATTGCCATTATGTTGCCAGTAGAGTTGGAGTTTCTGGTGTTCTCTTGTCCTTTCTAGTCTTTGTTGCTTTTGGTCTTTTTTTTTTTTTTTCTTTTCTTCCCTCAGAGAGTCCCCCTTAAAATTTCTTGTAGGGCTGGTTTAGTGGTCATGAACTCCTTTAATTTTGTTTGTCTGGGAAACATTTTATCTCTCCTTCTATTTTGAATGAGAGCCTTGCTGGATAAAGAATTCTTGACTACATATTTTTCCAATTCAGCACATTGAATATATCCTGCCACTCCTTTCTGGTCTGCCAAGCTTCTGTGGATAGGTCTGCTGTGAACCTGATCTGTTTTCCCTTGGTGCTTTCATGATTCTTTCCTTGCCTGAGTATTTTGTGAATTTGACTATGATATGCCTTGTTGATGGTTGGTTTTTGTTGAATCTAATGGGAGTCCTCTGTGCTTCTTGGATTTTGATGTTTGTGTGTTTCCCCAGGTTAGGAAAGTTTTCCACTATGATTTGCTCACATCTATTTTCTACCTTTTTTTCTCTCTCTTCATCTTCTGGGACCCCTATGATTCTGGTATTATTCCTTTTTAATGAGCCACTGCGTTCTCTAATTTTTATTTCATGTTCTTTTGCCTTAGTCTCCCTCTTTTTTTCTGCTTCATTATTCTCCATAAGTTTGTCCTCTATATCACTGATTTGCCACTCTGCCTTTTCCATTTTTGCTGCCATGGCATCCATTCGAAATTGCAGCTCAGTTATAGCACTGTTTTATTTCATCCTGACTAGTTTTACTTCTTTTATCTCTGCAGGAAGGGATTCTAGTCTATTTTCAACCCCAGCTAGTATTCTTATTATCATGATTCTAAATTCTCGTTCAGACATCTTGCTTATATCTGTTTTGACTAATTCTCTGGCTGTCATTTCTCCCTCTTCTTTCTTTTGGGGTGAATTCCTTCATTTCATCATTTTGAAGGAAGAAAAGGAATTAATAAAGTGAAAAAATTAAAATCAAAGAAATTAAAAAATCACACAAAGAAATAAAATAAAGGATGTTAGGTCCTGAGTGTGTTTTGGTCTGGTTGTTGAGAGAAGCTTAATAGATTAGAGAAAAAAGGGAAAGATAAGAAGAGAAAAAAGGAAAAAGGGAAAAAGGAAAAAAAGGAAAAAAGCAAATGTTTGAAAATTTGAAAAAATTGAATACAATAAAATAGAATAAAATGAAATGATGAAAGTAAAATAGAATTTTAAAAATTTACAAAAAGTAAAAAATATAGTAGAAAAAATTAAAGAAAAATCTTTTTAATAAAAATGGAAAATGAAAATAATTTTTTCTTTCTGTATTCAAGAATGAGAAAAGAGAAAAAAAGAAAAAAATTTGACTAAAAGGACCGGTGAACAGAATGAAGTACGATTGAAATTACATCTGGTTTCCCATAGAAGTCAAGCTATGAAGCACCTGATAGTCCCTAAACTAAGCAGGCAGAGAGACTTGGGTTTGTCAAGAGCGCTGCTGGCCCTGTTGGGCAGGGTTTAGTGTAATGGCTCCGTTCTCCACTAGATGGCGCTGCTTAGCTTACAGGGGTGGATTGCTGTGGCGCTTTGTAGGTGTGTGTGCGCATGCGCGGGAGGGGCGAAAATGGTGTCATCCAACTACTCAGTCTCTAGTATCAGAGGTCTGTGCTCTCTGTGACCCGCAGTCAAGCACTTCTTTGTCTCTGGCTTCCGCTCACTCCTCACTTCTACACTGTCCGTCAAGTTTAACCAAGCAGTCAAGCTACCAGGTAACACCTCCCTCCTGAGTTTTATCTCAGATGCGGCTGTGTTTCCCAACCCCTCACGTCTGAGGGACTGCGTCTTTGACCTGCTCAGATCCTCTGCGGGAGGGTCTCGCTGAGCAGTGGTCGGGTGCCGGCCCACCCACAGCAACCTTTGTGAGACTGCTGCCACCGATCTGGGTGCCAGCCCGCCTCAGAAGAAGTTCTCCCGATTGTGTAGCAGCAGCGTTTCAGGGATTATGGAAAATCACAGCACACATCTGGCACCAGGCTTCCCCCTTAGCGTCCTTGTTCCAGCACCAGCAAATGTGGCTGTTCTCCGGGGTCTGCTGGGACCTTTACTGCACCCCCTCTACCAAATGTCCTTTCCCCGTGTGGCCTGCAGACCCCTTGGACCTCGCTCTCTGCTCTTGGGGATTCACCCTTCCCACCAGAGCATTGCCAGGTATGGGGTTGTGGGCATTTCAGACTTTGCATTCTCCCTGTTAATAGACTCTTAGTGGAATTTAAACCCTCTCCTTTCTCCTTTCTCCCTTTTTTGTTCATCCCTGAGGCAGTTTCCACTTTTACACTTTCTCTCCAGCTGCTTTTGGTGGGGTGTGCCTTTCCTGTACTCTCCCCCATTATCCATCCTCTCTCCATAAGCAGAAATAGCTCCCTGCCCTCTGCAGCATCTCTCTCCCCCAACTCACCTCTCTGCGCCATGTACCTGCTAAGTTCTGTGGTTCAGGTTGTGCAGATTGTTGTGTTAATCCTCAATTTAGTTTTCTTTGTGTGCAAGATGGTTTAGTGTTGATCTGTCTGCATTTCAAGGACAAGAGACACACAAAAAAACCTTCCATGCTATTCTACCATCTTGGCCCCTTCTAGGATTTTTTTTTTTTTAAACCAAATTCTGGGAATCAGAGGCAAAGCTATCTCAGTATGAATGAACATGTGAAGAATTTCATTTCTTAACCCTAACATTGATTTACACTAAAACTGGGCCTCTGTTTCCCAGAGAAATAAGGGATATGTTTTTTTAAATGCTTATTTATTTATTTATTTATTTATTTATTTATTTATTTTGAGAGAGAAAGAGAGAACTCACAGGGGAGGGAAGGGGCAGAAAGAAAGGGAATCCCAAGCAGCCCCCATGCTGTCAGCGGGACTTGATTCCATGAACTGAGAGATCATGACCTGAGCTGAAATCAAGAGTTGGACACTTAACTGACTGAGCCACTCAGGCACCCCAGGGATATTTTTTATTTGCTATGTAAGAATATTTTGAAAACAACAGGCTGCATACCACTGTGTCCAAAGATCCTTAGTGCTGAATGTGCTGAGAAAACAAATAAAAGTTTCCAGAACTGAGAGCCAACCTACTCTTTCCAGGTGAAATGTCCATTCCAACTTCTGTAAGAGAAACTTGGCGTGTTCTTGTCATGAGCTTGTGATGCTGAATCAGATATGACTCAGAACAATGACCGCTGAACCCTGAGTTTCAGCCTAATGTGAGTGTTTCAGGGACAGGAATTGGCTACTTAGTGACTCATTTCCATTTGGTTTGGCTTATGGGAGTAACAAGATAATACTCTTCTCACTGTGGACAGAGGTACAAATGGCCAAAGTGCTCCATGCCATTTCAGTCTTGAGATTTAATTTCAAAGCCTATAAGCATGAGTATCCAATACTACCCAGCGTTCTTTTTTTTTTTTTTATTATTTTTTAAATATTTTATTTATTTCTAGGAGAGAGACAGAGAGAGACAGCGTGAGCAGGGGAGGGTCAGAGAGAGAGGGAGATACAGACTCTGAAACAGGCTCCAGGCTCTGAGCTGGCAGTCAGCACAGAGCCCGACGCGGGGCTCGAACCCACCAACCGCGAGATCATGACCTAAGCGAAAGTCGGACGCTTAACCGACTAAGCCACCCAGGCGCCCCCTACCCAGCGTTCTTTGCCTCTCTAGGTCTGGCCATGTTTTTGACTCCCAGTTTGCGTGACTAAAAGTATATGGATTTTTAATAAAAATACACCTAGCATATTTGGAAAAGAATTTGAACATTATGCATTCTCTCAGGCTTGACAAGAATTAGGTCTCTATTTGTCTGCCAAACAGAGTGTCAGTTGGGAAACCCAAACCTTGTGTCCTTTGGTGATAAAGCAAGACGCAGCAGGAATATGGACAGTATCCACAATGTCCATGTCTTTCCTGTTGCCAGCACATGTCAAAATCAAGGAGTATGAAATATGGGAGGCTCCTTTAGGGAAAAAGTTCTAAGACAGAATCAGGCCTTGGTACTAGGTTGATGACATCACAGATGATCCTCAGTGCCCTGCCCTCACCTGTCTGTCTTTCTCTGAGACTGTCCATGCTTCACTGATGCTTAGTGTCCTGGGCTCCTAATGCTCCACACCACCTCCCAAGCTCTAAACTCTGCTGTTAGGAAAGAGATGTGCTAATACATGATGATCGAATGGCACAGCTTATTTTGTAACCTCTTCTGAGCTACTTTTATTTTATCCCATGAATCAACTTCTCTCCTCTCGACCTTTAAAACAAATCAAACACAACATTTTCTGTTTGCTGATGGTTTGGTTATCTCCAGACTTTGGAATTGTATGAATGAACAAATTTTCATATAAAAGATTCCAGGACCCAAAAAGGACTACTGGATTTTGATTTTTTCCCAGTAAGGCAATAACTAATTATAAAAACCACTCTCACTTACAAGAAAAAGAATATTTTAATATAAAAATATTGAAAACCACCATCTGAGAATAAGGCATTGTCATGGATAGCTAGGGCATATATATTTGTATTTATGTTCCCCATTATCCTCATCTTTTCCCTCATTTATTTTCGGATGGGAAAACCATTAGCATGGGCCAGTACAGGTACAGAAGCCCACAGCTGGAGGGCTAGGAGTTGTCCTATAGCCAGTGAGATGCTTGCCACTAAGGTTGTTGCAGGGGGGCAATGCCAGGAATAGGGGCCAGAAACATGGCTCTTGTGCTGAAGGTGAAGGTGGGAGTTTTGGTGATCCTGAGGGCAGGTGCTGACTGTGGGAGGAGATGTAGATGGACAAAGATAGGAGACCTTGAGGACTCAGGATGATCAGGTTGAGGGGACAGGGGCTGAGGTGGGTGGAAGTGGGGGTGGTGTGTTTTGTGAAAAATCATTCACCTCAGACACGGAAGACAAAAGGAAACAATGAAAGATCCCTAATGACAGTGACTCTGATCTTACAAGGGACTCATTTAGAATGCTTTGCATTCTAAGACTAAGAAACATCATTGATTGATTGATTGATTTCATGTGATTGACTTGATTCATTCATGGATACTTTTGTCTGGAAAGCAATTGTTAAGTCAGCAGTACCCTAAGCACTGGTAATATGGAAACGAATAAGGTACGAATGGAAACGAATATATCCTGGTTGCCAGATATATATAATCATAAATGATCTATATGTGCTACTATATTTATGTATTGCATTGTAAAAATAGGCTAACATGGAAATGAAAGGAAGATAATACAAAAGTGATTGTAAATAAAAGGTCTGAAATTGTCTTTCTCTACCTTAGTGGGTTGTTTGGTCTGTCCCTGGCCTGTGTGCCTTCCCTGTTTGGTAAATATTGGCTAAAGCAGTTATAAGTAAGACTTATAACTGGAGAATTGGGAGAGACTGGCAAGTAGGAGTGATGAGAACAGAGCATTACTATAAGGCTGAGGAATAGACATGGGCTTAAAGAAAGGGTGGCCCTAAGTCTTTAGGATCAAAGAGGGAAAGAGTAAAGAGTAGTGAAATGAAGCAAGAGAAGAATGTGGACATGGGCCTGGGGGAAGTACAGTGATCGAGAAACCTAGTGAGTGACACTTAAAGCAGAGCTTACTAACTGGAAGGGCACTTGAAACTCTGGTTGGAGTGAATCAGGCCCATTTGGATCCAGCTGAGTGAGCAGCATGAGCCTGAGTCTGTAGTTTAGGTACCTACCCACAATGTAAAACAATGACGACTGACTGTGTGGTCAACCACAGACGACAGGGCAGGAAGGGCTTCTGTGATACCTTAAAGAGGGAGAAGCCATAAATTTCAAGAATTTTATACTGCTTCAGATATATAGGCCACAGAGCACTGTGGCTCAGGGTTAGCTTTTCGAATCGTTTGATACTAGCACTAGGGTGACCAGACATCCTGGTTTGCTTGGGACCATCCAGGTTATATCACTGAAAGTTATAGGTCCTGGGAAACTCTTTGAGTTTTAGGCAAACTGGGACAGTTGTCACCTAAGTTTTGGATCTTCTTCTTTTGAGGAACAACCCTGGATCCTTATCACTCCATTAGGCTCCAGTGTAGTGGTTTCCTCTCTAGAGGCAGACATGTGACTGAGCGCTGGCCAATCAGCACCTTTCACCTTGGTTGCAGTGATTGGATCACAAGGGCACACAAGGCAAACCAGGTCAGCGAGACTCAATTCTGGACATTTTGTTGGGACTGTTGGAAAAGTAGAGGGATTTGTTCACTGGGACTTCTGGCACCGAATCTGATGAATGCTTGGAGATCCTGGAACCTCCTATTGGAATCTGGAATGAAGCTACATTTAGAGAAAAATAGAAAGGAGAGATGGAGAGATACTGAATCTTGATGATGCCTGAGTCCCTCTACTAGACCATGCCTACAGGGAGCTTTACTCTTAATTTTTTTCAGTTATGTGAGCCAGAAAATCTCCTTCCAACACCATGATCCGACTTTCCCCTTTGCTTAAGCCAGGTTGAATTGGGTTTTTCTAACTTTTATCTGATGGGGTCCTGACAGTGCGGCTTGTGCTGATCACATAGATACAAGGAAATACATATTATCCTACCCAGAAGCCATCTTTCGTAGATGCATCTTGATGCCTGGGGAAAGGGGCACAAAGAGCTGCCAGTCTTCCCTAAGGTAAAGGAGATAATCAGTAGTTGTATGGACTTCAATGGTCAGGAATAAAGGTGGAGAACTGATGTCTGATGGGACTTGGTTTTT